TTTGATGGAGAAATATACGAGACTACAAACAATTGCGAAGACCTATCGGAGCTCTTTGGCGTATATACAAAAATCATTTGTGTGGAAGAGCCCCTCATTCCGGACGCTCCAAAAATTGAGGAGAACCATGATTTCAATCGAATTATGGAATACTTATGGGTAAGCTTGCTTTCAATGCCTTACACTTTACTTTAGGAAAACCCAAAGGGATATCTGATTGAAACTTCCAGAATTTAAGACGCATAAAGCAATAAATTCGATAAACAAGTTTCAGCAATCAAGCCAAGATCCAAGACTTTCAAGTGCGGAATAACAGGCTACCTGGGTTGGATTGTGAACATCATCCCGGGATGGCAAGGTGAAAATTTTAAATCTCACAATTTTACTAAATTGCATGCCATTGTGGCACGGAGTGGCTGAACTAATTAAATTTCTACAGATTTTAATGATAAACACACCGCAGACATCCCATAGCGAGTATCATTTAGAAGAGGCAATCCATAAAGAGAAACCCAGGGCAAGATGGCTTTCGTGTGAATTTTTTATCTACTATGCCCTTATACTGTTTGCCGCCTATAAGATAACATTTTCAGGATGGAAAGTGTCATCTCCCATTAGCAATCCAAATTTTGACAAACTGGAGCATCTGCTTAGTAGAGGGTGGATGGGCCCATTTGTGGACAATTCTGACGCCCAATTTGCAGCGTTTCGAAACAACTTTTTGAATTTGACTCTAATGATGGGCATTTTTTGCCTCTTATCTTTAGGGCTAAAGGCTCTGAAGAGGGAATCTTACTTGTTTCTTGCAGGACTGGTTGTCTTATTGGCTCTACATGGTCTCAATTCTGTGTTTATCATTTCGTTCATGCTCGTTAACTACTATATAACCTTTCTTGGCCAAAGGTATTTTCCCAAATTAATTCCCATTCTTACGTGGAGTTGGGCTCTTCTCTCTTTGGTTGGTTTGGAGTGGATAGGGAATCAGATATCATTCACAAATCTTTCTTGGGGATATCTGTCTTTTTTGGATAGAAATATTTTCAAGGGAGCATATCATCGATGGTGGATTATCTACAATATCTCCGTCTTGCGAATGATTTCCTTCAATTTAGACTATTACTATGCATTGATTAGCCCCAGAGCTACCTCTTCGCAAACTTCGATCGCTAATATGGTAGTGTGACGCTATTTTTCCTTATCTTAGAAGCATATTCGTTCGTGTGCAGAGTGTCAAGAATCTCTTTCTTATTGTGGTAAAATTCGTTCCACCACGAGCCTCGAGCTGGATAGCTACAATGTGTGCAACTACTTTTCCTATTTGCTGTACACACCACTTTTTCTGTCTGGACCAATTATCACCTTCAACAATTTTTGTTGTCAACTGAAGGCGCCCATTTTGATTTCATCGAAGTACAAAGCATGGTACTTGATTCGGCTCTTAATCTCAATTTTGGTTATGGAATGGATTATGCATAATTTTTATGTTGTTGCTATAAAAAACATGCGCGCTTGGGATGGGTTTTCTACGCTCGATATGTTCTGTATTGGATATTTGAATCTAAAACTAATCTGGCTGAAGGTAATTGATGCCATTTCATGCTAGCTGCTAATCATATGGAGATTTGCGAGATTTTGGGCACTTGTCGATGGCATAGATGCGCCCGAAAACATGATTCGCTGCATGAGCAATAACTATAGCGGCCTCGCGTTTTGGAGATCATGGCATCGGTCTTTTAACCAGTGGATTGTAAGGTACATCTACATTCCATTGGGTGGCTCCCAGTATGCTACTCTCAACATTTGGGTTATATTTACTTTTGTCGCCATATGGCACGATAGAACTTTAAGTCTTTTGGTTTGGGGCTGGCTAATATCCTTATTTATTGCTCCTGAGCTAATCCTTGCATATTTGAGCAAAATGTTAAATGTATGTGCATCCGCTTTTAACCTTTAAGGCGGAATCGTGGAATTCATATAGAATTCATGCTGGAATTGCCGGGGCTTTTAATTTATATCTTATGAGCATTGCAAATCTTGTTGGGTTTTGCGTGGGAGTTGACGGGGTAATGATCATTTTAAAAAGTGCCCTTTCTTATGATGGTAATGTCGGCCTTTAACTTTCGTAGGAGTTGTTTTTTTGTGTTGGTCTTTTATTACGGCATATGCGGCTGTGCAGATTATGTTTGAAATTAGAGAGCAAGAATATAGATCCCTTGGAGTTATGAAAAATTACTAAATCCAAAAATATTCGTTTCACATTAACTGGAGACCGAGCAGAAAAACATTGGCAGAAGAGACAAGAGGCCCTTCCTTATTTGTGGCCATAAATTTAGGTGCAATTTAGCTGTCAATTGTAAAAATTTTAAATGGAGAATCGGGGTATCGATCCCCGTGCCTCTCGCATGCTAAGCGAGCGCTCTACCATTTGAGCTAATCCCCCTTGTGAGATATATAATTTAATTTTTATTTAAAAACATTTTTTCCTAAATTGGAAACCTTATCATTTCCCCTATTCTAATTGGTAATGCATGAAAGACACGTTCTTATTGAATACTACGTTTCAGCCTGAAAAAGTATTTTATTCTTGCGCCAGTATAGATTTTAGCGCAGACATGCTATTTTTAAATAGATTCAAATATACCCCTCTGCCCTGTGTGTTTTCCAATCAGTTCAATAACGATGAACTGTCGTTTCTGGATGGATTAAACATTAAAAGACCTCGAACGCTATTCTCATACGTTTATTCCGAATCGGTTCTTTTTTATGCGCTCATCTTTGATTTATTTTCCAGTGTTTATTTTTTCCTTTTTTCTGCAGGCCTTTCAACTAGTGGTGCTGTGCCCTCCGTTCTTTGTCTGTCCTTGCTTAATTTCGTCGTTGCCAGCATAGGATTGTTTGCTTTAAAGGCACGCAACAAAAGGGCCTTGCTGATATCGATTGGTTACCAAGCAACTCAGCTGGCCATCTTTTCTGCGCTCTCTGTGCTTTCGATTTCCCTTATGGGGGATATTTCTGCCTGCAAGTTGCTGCAAAATTTGTTTGATTGGGACAATGTGGAATTCGAAGAGTGCACAACGCATAAAACATTGCTTTTCGGTGTTTTTTTCTCCATCGTGACATGCCAGTTACTTGTCGAGGTATTGAGCGATTTTTAATGTTAGATGTTTATCGTGGTTCAATCGATACGTGTGTTACAGTATTATAAGCGAATAACTCCCTGGATCGCCGTGATGAAAAACCAAGCAGCCTTTGAGAGGCCTGCAAAGGCTTAACTGCAGCGCCTGAATAATAAATGTATGATATCATAGCACAGCACAGCATATCACATCATATCAACGGCCTCGAGAGGGGTTTTGCTTTGGAAGAATAGGGTCTGAATAGACCATCTGTTTTTAAACTACACGAGAAGCAAGTTCCATCAACACATCGTTTGAAATGAGACATTGCACATGGCTCGCAAAAAACGTGCAAACATCTGCAATAAGAAAGATGCAGAATCTTACTTTGTCACAACCGGGTCCTTTAAAGGGCCATTACAAATAGGGCATTCTGTCGGAGATCCCTTTTTGCAAGCTTCTTCTGGCTTTTGAAGCGTGTCCATATTGGGGGCTTTGAGTTCGGGGAGAGTAGGGGTCCACTCTTCCTCAAGCTGCCAACCGCTTTTATAATCGCTGCGATCGTGTATATATATGCACGAGTCCCCAAACCCGCACGAGCCGGTTTCCTTGTAATCCTTGCAAACATCAGGTCGAAAATCAAATCTACATGAGATTCGATTTGTTGAAGAAAGGCGCATCGGTCCGGCCCTAAGCGCTATAAAATGGCTAAATCGCTACTTGTATTTCTGTGACGTGGCATTTCCGGCAACCGTATCTTCCTTGGAGAGATAGGATTTGTAGTAATTAGCACCGAGATAAACATCCTCTTTTCCTGTCAAAACCTTGTTAAGTTTGTGCCTTTTCATTAAAATAGCCCTGGAATCCCTGTCGTGCGGGGTCTCGTATTCTTCTCTTTTTTCCCGTTTTAATTCTTCCCTGTATTTGTCGAATCTATTCCCTGAGGCAGAGTCATCCACAGGCACTTTTTCGATAGACGGCTCTTTCTCATCAGCAAGGGGATATGATGTGGATGATTTGGATTGCATTTTTTCTAACGCATTGTTTTTAAAGGTTGGAACTTTCTTCACTATTGGCTTTTCCTCAACTATGGTCTCGTCATCTGAATAATTGGGCCTCGTTCTGGGTGGCATAATTAATAAAATCTTAAATTTTAAATTTTTTTAATGAAATACTCAAAAAATAATTACAGGGGGACCCGTTTAAAAGATGAGCTCATTGATTCAGATGATGCTTTTCCCCATATAGGGACAAGTGGCGAGGAGCTATCTTCTTCATTTGAGTCTGAAAACGGCATATCAGATTCTGAAGATTTCTTGCTTGAAAAACATAATTTGAAGGACCTCGAGCATGGAAGCTCATTGAGAAACCCGGCAGATAGCCTTCTCACCCATCCGAGGTATAAAGGAAAAAAAGCAAATGTCATCGAGCTAAATTTGCCCGAAATACATTCAGACGCAAGCTTTTCCCACGAAGACAGTGAAGAGCATTTTGAAAGCAATCATGACGACGACGATGACGACGATGATGACCAAGCTTCAGGAGATGTATTTAAGCGGTTTAAATCGATGCAGAGCAGCGCTTCCGAAAAAAATGTTTGCAAACCCGACTTGTTACTTAAAAGGAAAGACGATCTGGTTAAAGCAAATTGCCTGAGAGACCAATTGGCATTCATCGATGACTTATTTACGCTCCGAATTTTATTGCAAAAGATTTTTGTGCAAATGCACAGTGCAAACCTCACTGCAGCAGTCCCCATGCTGTTACAAATGATCCCAATTGCTCTTGAAATTAACGAAAAAGGGGTCGGTGGACGAATTGAAAAGAAACGAACCTTTTTATCTATTGAGGACCTATGGGAGTATATGAAGCAAATATCTACGCTAAAAGAACCCGATCTTTTGGCTTTATATGATTCCTGGTGGTCGAAATCGCACATATCTTTTCAGAGGCCAGGGAGAAATTCCTCCAATAAAAACCTACAGGTTTTGAACCAGGGGTTCTCGGGCTCCGTTACTTACTCGTTAAAGTCTTATAAGCCGTCAAAGGATCCCTTATTATTTATCGCTGACTCGAAGTTTTATCAACAACTTTTGAAAGATATTATTGATGCCAAACTATCCTCAAGCAAAAATGCCAATGCTGCCAAGAGGTCGATTGGTAGGTTAGATCAAGAGAGGAAACCTGTTCATAAAGCTAGCAAAGGAAGACTTCTAAGCTATGAAACGCATAGCAAACTTGAAAATTTCATGGCTCCCAGGCCGTTCCATTCAGAATGGACCGAGGAAAAGATGTCGCAATTGTTCAACTCGCTACCGTTTTAAATTCTAATTTAAACTATTAAAATTTTAAATTCATTTGCATTATGTCTCAATGTCAATCTCTCGTTGGCCTCAAAAACAATCAAAATAATTTTGAGGACGAGGAGGGCGATTCAATAAAGAAGGGCAGTCGGCTGCGAAATTCTCATAGATTAATCTACAATATTTCTGGTGCCGCTAAATCGGTCACCGTCAACTCCACTTCATATCTATTCTCGGCCGTTTCCAAGGGCATCAAAGGAACAAAAAACGGCATTATGGGGCTAGTCAATGGGTACTCCACAAATTCCGTTTCAGAGCCCATGCTTCAGATGCAGAGTTCTCAGAATCTTGATCTAGAACCATCAGTAGAACCGGGCTTCCCTAGCGATAGGTTGATGGCCGAGCTTTTTGAGGACAAGGAGTCATCTGATACCGAAAATTCAGTGAGTGATCCGGAAACGTGCAGCCAGGACTTTTACTCTGGATATTTGCAAAAGTGGACCAACTACTATGGCGGCTATCGCAAACGATTTTTCTCTGTCGATCCGATTCGCAACACTCTGTCCTACTATAAAAGCGAGCACGATTGGCCAGACAAGCCCAGAGCGGTAGCCCCTCTTTCAAGATTAAAGATTTTGCTTCCTTTGAATCCAACGGGATCGTTTTTGTCGGCCTCCGCTACTTCATCGACGATCGAGCGCAATGCACCTTTGAAATTTGACATTATAATCATTAAGCCCAAAGGCAGCAAGCACCGAAGCGCAGACAAAGAGCTGCCATTGGATAAGAGGGAGCTTGAGCCAAAGTTCTCGATTTGGCACTTAAAGGCGGATACCAACGAGCAATCTTTCCAATGGATATCTCTGCTTGCAAGGGTTAGCTCGAAATCTTCCCGTCCTTCTTCCGCAAATTCAAGCCCATTTTCACGGGATGTTACCTGTCCGTTGATGACACCATCGCATCCCTTTTTTGGCCAAAGACCCTCGTCTGCTGTCCTGTCTAAAGACTGGGATGGAATTTTTCACGATTTGATTGCCATTTGCAACACGGAGACCATTACAAAGTTTACCTTTCAAACGATTAGGGAGCTGCTATTTTTGCTCAAGTCATGTAGGGAGGAAGAGCTTAGATTGCATGCAGATCAAATAGCGTGTTTGAAAGAAAAGCTTCGTTGGCTTGCCTTCCAAACGATGCCAAGTCAAGCTTCATCTTCGGTCGATGAATTACGTGCAAGTGAAGTGGGATTTAAATATCGCGAAAAGATTGTTCCTGAAAGCGAAGAAACAGAAGAACCAGAAGAACCAGAAGAAAGCGAAGAAAACAAAGAAACCGATGCATACTCTTTAACATTGACCGAGGGTTCTTCAAACGCAGGCTCCATTGATTCAGACATGTCAAGCTCTGGAGACGATCTATTTTTTGAATGTCAAAATTATAAATCGTCTCCTAAAGCGGAATTCAGTATCAATGAGCTATCTGTGGGCTTAGAAATTACCGAAGCTTCTGAGGTTGTTGCCTCTTCAAAAACAGAAATCGAGTGTCTTCCAGATAACCTTTCTAAAAGTGCAATCGGGTACCCTTTAACACCCCGAAATCGGCTTCCCGGATTCGCCTCAATAGACCTATCCACAGTCTCTGTTTGGTCTGTCCTTCGTCAAGCAATTGGAAAGGATCTTACAAAACTATGCGTTCCCATCCAATTTAATGAGCCACTTTCAATGCTTCAGCGAGTAGCCGAGGATATGGAATATTGGGAGCTGATTGAACAATCCATTACCGAGCCTCTCCCAGAACGCCGTCTTTTGCTCATTTCGGCCTTTGCCCTATCAGTTTACTCTACCACTAGTGGCGGTAGGCTAGGAAAGCCGTTCAATCCCCTGCTACATGAAACATACGAACTGGTTTATCGAGACCAGAAATCTAGCCCCCCTCGTGTGGCATTCAGGTATATTTCAGAACAGGTCTCCCATCATCCGCCAATCGCAGCTTCTGTCGCAGAAGGCAACGGCTGGATTTTCGAATCAGAAACACGCGTGAAAATGTCCTTTTGGGGAAAATACATCAGCCTGATTCCTGCCGGATCCAATCGGCTGATTATCACTTTGCCCTGTGGAGTCCAGGAGGTTTATAGCTGGAAGCGAGTGACCAGCAACATACACAACATATTTATTGGGAAAATGCGTATGGACCATTCCGGAGAGATGGATATCACCTGCCATTCTAATGGCTACCACTGCAGATTGGTCTTCATGTCCGATTCGTCGCATCAAAGTAATTCCGAAATTCACAATGTCCGTGGGCATGTTTTCCCTCCGTCTCCAGAGGGTGGCTCCAAAATCAACCCTCCATCGTTCATCATCGAAGGTGCATGGTATTCATCGATCTGGGCATTTCCTCTTGTCAACAATGTTCCTTTGGATGCCGAAAAATTCATAATATGGCGTGCAAATGAACGCCCAGAGTGGTCCTCCTCGATGTTTCACTTTACTTCCTTTGCAATGTCATTAAATGAGCTTACACCAGAGCTTGGGGATGCAATTGCACCAACAGATAGTCGCTGGCGTCTTGATCAACGAGCCCTTGAGGATGGTCGATTGGAAGACGGAATTTCGCTTAAAGAATCGCTTGAAAAGCGCCAGAGAAAACGAAAGGGAGCTGAAAGCCATCAAAGTCCAATTTGGTTTGTCAAAAACACCGAGAAACACTATAGCAGTGTCGATAAAATCTTTCCAATTGCCTGGAAATACCTTGGCGGCTACTGGGAGGCGAGGGAAAGCCCATCCAAATGGTCCACCATAGGCCTGCCAACGATATTTTTGGACGAAAATTGCACATAGTGCAGTCCAATTTTCCATATCTCCTTTCTTTGTAACATAGCTTTATTTTTGCGCAGTGGAGTAGATGGCCTATTCCTTAACCTTTATCTTATGATAAATATTGCAAAACATGTAGCATGAAAATACGATATATAGCTTTCTAAACCAAACCATCTGTGATCGATGCCGTTGCATCGATGGAACCAGAGTAAACAAGTATTCATAGGGGGAAAGCAGGACCAAATCGCGTATGATAAACGATTTTAAAACGGCATATACCATGCCAGAATACTTGCACACGACGTTAAGCGGCCAAAACGAAAAGTCATTCAATGAATAGAGTGAATAAAAGGGTACATTGTCCGTTCGAACCGCGACAAGACCACATGCCTGAGATGAGCTTATATGGTTTGGATGCCCAGAGACTCCCATGTGATCAAAGGAAATCAGTATTTCAATGTTCCATTTGAAAATATGCTCCTCAATGATCTTTGCAGCCTTTTCCAAGTCCCATGCACATGTAAAGCCATCCGGAAGGGAGCCTGGATCGTCGATAATTGATATCTTCTCCGTGTTGGTGATTCCCAGTTGTTCAAGAGACCGTACCAACTCCCTTTTGCGTATCCAGCCAATGCCGGCGCTGTCTCCTAAAAATCTCAAACAATCGTGTCATACCGGATGTAAGGCAAAGAATGTGAAAATTCGCAATTTTTGATCCGCGAACCAAGGTAGGCCCAAAGAACAGTACCTCGTCATCCGGATGTGCAATGACAAGCAGGATGCTCTTGTCCCTCCAAAGATCAACAATGCCATTTCTAGCTTTAACGCAGAACACCAGCAAAATCAACGCTGCAAGCATCAGCACTAATAACCCCATTAGGAGTATATGTATGGACCAAAAATTTAATCGCAAATAGACGGAGTTTAACACGTAAGCGGAGGCTATTTTTATTTTGGCTAACGGTTAACCGTAATTTAGGCGGAAAACATCGTTAAGGATATAAAAATTGGTTCCAGATTGGCTTAATAGAAATACTTGGGAATAACGCTGAGGCTGTTGTTCGCTATCAACAAATAGGCGACCCGTAACACATATGAGAAGAGTATTTCCAGAAGGCTGGACGTCCATCGTATCAACTTGACGCTGAAGAGTGGTAAGAGGAAGCCCCTATGTCGAGTAAGGTGGTGATGAGATGACAGAAAATACCTGAAGCCTTTCCGAAATGGCACTTTGGCCCTGGCATAAATCCCCCTCAAATGAGAGACACGAATTGGGTTGCTAAATGATCAGA